TTTCAAGCATTGATAGGAGATTTGAATCACCCAAAAAGGAATTTTCTAGCTTAAGTTATGAATTTTTCAAGTGTTTGGAAAAGCTGTCAAAAAACCTAACCTGGACAGGTTTGATAATATTTAATTCTGGGAATCTTTGGAGATGAATTTGAATGAATAGGTTGCATCATTGGAAACTAGGCATCCTCAGCTTCGTGTAGCCGCAAGAATCAAGTCAAACGGACAACTATAGTTCAAGATATGCATTTTTAAATTTAAGCATGATCTCCAGGAATTCTGCAGAAAAACAGCCACGTTTTGATTTGGCATAATGTGTTTTTAGAGACCATTACAGGCCTGAAACTAAGCTTATGATAGCTCTTTCGAAAGTCCTAGATGTGTAGTTCGATTAGGCACTGAGTTCGTAATTTTTGAGGATGTGGAGAATATTTTATGATTATTCCTGTAACAGTCGCTAAAGCTGTCTTTTTTAGGAATTGATAAAACAAAGAAACTGAGGCCCCTACTTTTTGAAATAGGATTGCTGCACCTAAACCACTGTTACTACCATTAGGAACATATTATTAGTGACGTGTAGGAGTTGGAATCACGTCATTTGGAGTTTTGTGCTTGAGTTGTGCACATTCGTAGTTTCATGTCGAAACTTCTTAAAAGCTGTGAAAACTAGGAAAGAACAGAATTTTGATTTCTTGAAACTGTTTTTGAGGCATTTAGAGATTTCGGATTTGGGCATATGATACCCCTCGACTTTTACATATTTATAATTTTATCCTAACTATTCTAAACATTAGTAAAAATAAAAAAGAAGCCGATGTTAAATTTTCATACTTATTTTATCTATTATGTGGCGGGAGTGTTTGTAAAAGACAATTTTGAGTTCAAAATCCTGTCTATCAGAATTTCTTATAACAAATACTTTTGAGAGGACATTTTAATTATGTTGCATAATGGTTCAAATCTGATTTTACATTTGAGGGGACATTTTAAAAATGTTGCGTAATGGTTCGAATATGATTTTAAGATCCAAGCATCTCACTTGTAATTCTTTTTTTCATCTCTCCTTCCCGCTCTCTCATGTCAACTCTCTCTCTCCCTCTCTCATTGTATCACGTTCTATCTCTCCCTCACTCTCAATTTCGGTTCTCCCTGTCTTCCTCTGTGAGAGGTGCTGTCCAAGCTTCCAAAATAGTTGACTTTCACTCTATTTTTGATGGGTAATTCAACCTTGAAGTCAATTTCAAGGTTAGTGATGAATTTCTTAGAGATTTCAAGAAGCTTGAGGTATTGTTTTTCCATTTCTTCTTTAATTCGAAAATATTGTTTTCTTTGTAGTAATTTGTTTAGTTTAGTGATGCTCTTTTTTGACAATGTTTTCTAAAGCCTCAGACCTTACCTAATTTCTAAAATTCCAAATTGTCAAAGTTGGAGTTTTTTAAAGTATGAGTTCCTTTGAAATTTCTCTCATGAATGTTATTATTTTAGACTTAATCATACTTTCCCCACTTGATTCATATGATTTTGGGGAGGATTCTAGGAGCAGCCCAAGGAAAAGCATAGGACTTGATTATTCCTAATAACTTTTAATGTTAGCTATGTTAGAACTTTAAAGCAGACTTTTCAAGTTTTGATAGGAGATTTGAATCACCCAAAAAGGAGTTTTGTAGTTTAGGTTATGAATTTTTCAAGTTGTTGGAAAAACTGTCAAAGAACATAGCATGGACAGGTGTGATTCTGTTAAATTCTGGGAATCTTTGGAGATGAATTTGAATGAATAGGTTATATAATTAGAAACTATACATCCTAAACTTCATATAGCCACAAGAATCACCTCAAACAGACAACTACAGTTTAAGTTATGCATTTTTAAAGTTAAGCATGATTTCAGAAATTTGTCAGAAAAACAGCCACGTTTCAATCTGGTACAATCTGTTTTTGGAGACGTTCGCAGACCGGAAACTAAGCATCTGATAGCTCTTTGGAAAGCTCTAGATGTCTATTTCTATTAGGCACTGATTTTCTAATTTTTCATGTTGTGTAGAATATTTTATGATTATTTCCGTAACAGTCGCTAAAAGTGTCTTTTCTAGGAATTGATAAAATAAAGAAACTGAGACACTTATTTTTTGAAATAGGATTGCTATACCTAAACTACCATTACTACTATTTAGAACATATTATTAGTGACGTGTGGGAGTTGGAAGTACGTCATTTGGAGTTTTGTAACTCGAGTTCTGCGCATTGGAAGTTTTATGTAGAAACTTTTCAAATGCTGTCAAAATTCAACCTTGAAGTCAATTTCAAGATTAGAGATGAATTTCTTAGAGATTTCAAGAAGCTTGAGGTAGGGTTTTTCCCCTTCTTTAATTCGAAAATATTGTTTTCTTTGTAGTAATTTGTTTGGTTTAGTGATGCTCTTTATTGGCAATGTTTTCTAAAGCCTTAGACCTTACCTAATTTCTAAAATCCCAAATTGTCAAAGTTGGAGTTTATTAAAGTATGAGTTTCATTAAAATTTCTCTCTTGAATGTTATTATTTTGGACTTAATCATACTTTCCCAACTTGATTCACATGATTTTGGGGAGCATTCTAGGAGCAGCCCAAGGAGAAGCAAATGACTTGATTATTCTCAATAAGTTTTAATGTTAGCTATGTTAGAACCTTAAAATAGACTTTCCAAGCTTTGATAGGAGATTTGAATCACTCAAAAAGGAATTTTGTAGCTTAAGTTATGAATTTTTCAAGTTGTTGAAAAAACAGTCTAAGAACCTAACCTAGACAGGTTTGATTCTGTTGAATTCTGGGTATCTTTATAGATGAATTTGAATGAATATGTTACATAATTGGAAACTAGACATCCTACACTTCGTATAGCCACAAGAATCACCTCAAACGGACAATTATAGTTCAAGTTATGCACTTTTAAAGTTAAGCATTATTTCCAAAAATTCTGTAGAAAAAGACCGAGTTTCTCGCCATAGGGAGCTCCGGTCCTCTTTGTCAAGAAGAAGGATGGCACGCTTCGGATGTGCATAGATTATAGAGAGCTCAACAAAGTCACCGTCAAGAACAAGTACCCATTGCCACGGATTGATGACTTGTTCGATCAGTTGAAGGGAGCTACCACGTTTTCAAAAATTGACCTTCGATCGGGGTATCACCAGCTTAAGATTAGAGAAGAAGACATTTTCAGGATGGCATTCAGAACTCGGTATGGACACTACGAATTCTCAGTGATGCCATTTGGACTTACAAATGCCCCAGCGGCGTTTTTGGACCTGATGAACAGAGTCTTCAGATCCTACTTAGATAAGTTATTGTTTTTATCGATGACATCCTTATATACTCACGAGATCCACAGGAGCACGCAGAACATTTAAGGATCACACTACACGTTGAAGAAACATCAGCTATATGCGAAGTTTTCTAAGTGCGAGTTCTAGTTAGATAAAGTCCATTTCCTCGGACATGTAGTATCCAAGGAAGGAATCACCGTGGATCCAGCAAAGGTTGAAACGGTTGAGAAGTGGCCAGTTCCAAAGAGTTTTACGGAAATTCAAAGTTTCCTAGGATTGGAAGGGTATTACAGAAGGTTTGTGGAGGGATTTGCTCATCTTGCAGCTCCTCTCACTGCCTTAACCAGAAAAGATAGAAGGTATGAATGGACAGATAAATGTGAGCAGAGTTTTAGAGAGATCAAGAGAAGGTTAACTAGTGCTTCAGTACTCACGATTCTAGATGAGGGAGAAAAATTTGACATCTACAGTGATGCTTCAAAAACAGGGCTAGGAGCCGTGTTGATACAAAATGGCAGGGTTATTGCGTACGCATCTCGGCAACTGAAGGATCACGAGCGCAATTACCCGACGCATGATCTTGAGCTAGCTGCAGTAGTCTTTGCGCTCAAGTTATGGTGGCATTACCTGTATGGAGTTCAATGCCAAATTTATACGGACCATCAGAGTCTAAAGTACTTCTTCACGCAGAAGGAGCTTAATATGAGACAGAGACGATGGCTTGAACTTGTGAAGGACTATGATTGTAAAATCCTTTATCATCCAGGTAAAGCCAATTGTGTAGCAGACGCCTTGAGTAGAAATTCAGCACTGCGGACTCCAGTGGAGACCGAATTGTTGCCCAAACAGCTTCGACAAGATATTAATCTCCTAGATCTTGAGTTAATCTCTGGTAAGCTAGCTTTTCTAAGATTGCAGCCCATGCTACAAGATGAGATACGAGAAGCTCATAAAGGCGATCCAATTATGGATAGATACAGGATGGTGATGGTAGAGAATGCAAAGTCGAATTTCAGCCTGTCAGAGGACGGAATTCTCTTGTACCAAATAAGAATTTGTGTACCGGATCAAGAAGGGATCAAGAAGCATATACTAGCGGAAGTGCACAGCACGCCATATGCCGTACACCCAGGTGCCACCAAAATGTATCAAGACTTAAAGCAACATTTTTGGTGGAAGCGAATGAAGAACGACATAGTTGATTATGTTAGTCGTTGCTTGACATGCCAGAAGGTCAAAGCAGAACATCAGAGACCAGTTGGTAAATTACAGCCACTAGAGATTCCAGAATGGAAGTGGGAACACTTAACCATGGATTTTGTGACCGGACTTCCGAGAACCAGTGATGGATATGATGCCATATGGGTAGTAGTGGATCGGTTAACGACATCGGCGCATTTCATTCCGATCAAAATAACTTACTCCTTAGAGGGGTTAGCTGAGTTATACGTGGCTAAGGTAGTAAAGCTACACGGAGTACCAGTTAGTATAGTGTCGGACAGAGACAGCTGATTTACCTCCAATTTTTGGAGAAGTGTTCAGGAAGCGATGGGGTGCAAACCCAGACGGATTGACAGTCAGAGAGAACAATCCAGACCCTCGAAGATATGCTTCGAGCTTGCGCTGTGGACTTCAAGGGCGCATGTAGTATGAAGTTGCCATTGATCAAATTTTTGTATAATAACAGTTATCAAGCTTCCATCGGCATGGCTCCGTATGAAGCACTTTACGGAAGGAAGTGTAGATCCCCAGTTCATTGGTATGACACTCGGGAAAAACAACTTTACAAGACAGAATTCGTTCAAGAGGCCATTGAGACAGTGCAGAAGATCTGCAGAAGATTAAAGACGACTCAGAGCCGGCAAAAGAGTTATGCAGATAAACGCTGGAGACCCTTGAAATTTTCTGTGGGGGACTTCGTATTCCTAAAAGTCGCACCAATAAAAGGTGTGATGCGTTTTGGGAAGAAAGGCAAGCTGAGCCCACGGTACATAGGACCTTTTGAGATCATTGAAAAAATAGGAAAGGTAGCTTACCGACTAGCTCTGCCGCCAAATTTAGCTGCAGTACACAGTCTGTTTCATGTAGCAATGCTCCGAAAGTATATCTCGGATCCATCGCACGTGTTACAGTATAAGCCTATCCAGGTTCACGAAGATTTGTCCTATGAGGAACAACCAGTTCAGATTTTAGCCAGAGAGGAAAGGAAACTTAGAAGTCGTAGTATCCCAATGGTTAAAGTTCAGTGGAAAAACCACCATGTTGCAGAAGCCACTTGGGAAGTAGAAGAAGAGATCAGACGGAAATACTCCCATTTGTTCTGATTTTCAGGACGAAAATTTCTTAAGGAGGGGTGAATGTAATGACCGGAAAAATTTTAGGTCTAATCCGGACAGTCCGGTATTTGACCGAAATTCTCTCCGAAACAGAAAGTAGTAGAATTTTCAGTTTGATCAAGGAGATGTTATGTAGAAACTTTATGTACGGGGTAAAATTTCTCGAAAAGTGTAAAGTTATAATACAAATATTTTACAAAGAAAATTTGTAAATATCAGTTGTGAATAGTGAAATATCGGTTAAAAGTTAAAAATTTTAGCGGATATATTTTAGTTATAAAAAATTAAAATATTTGGTAAGTGATCAAATGACCAGTTAGAAAAAGAGTAGAAATATTATAAGTAAGGAAAACAACAAAAGTTTTTGAAACAGGATTTTCCCGAGTCAGTTAAAGCGGGAAACTGCTTAAAAACTAGTACCGCGAGGGTACGCATTTTAGGCAATTCTGAATCAATTAAAATGAGAACTTCAGAAAAAGAAATTGACTAATGAGATACCCAAGAGAATTGGGTTCAACATGAGAAGTTTAACCTAAGGTACTCAACAGTCTAGCAAAGCAATATAGAACCTGTACCGGGTGTGAGATTATCGGTACCGGAAAGAGACTCGTTTTGAAAAACGGAAAGTTTGGTCTCGACAAGAAAAATGTGGGGAATATAGAACCACTCAAATTAAGTGTTAAACTTAAATAGAATTAGTAAAATTAAATTATGGGAATTAAAGTAATTTTTCTTAATTTAGAAAGTAATATTAGATATTATTAGAAATATTATTATAATATTCATTACATTCTAAAAAGAGGCCCACGGAAGCACATTAGAAGCAAAATGTGTCTTCTTTCCTAAGTGTGGCCGAGAGAATAGAGAAAAGAGGGAAAAGAGAGAAAATCAAGAGAACCAAGGAATCGCCCGTTTTCGCCGAAATTCCTTCTGTTCAGTCCGGTAGAAACATAACCCGATGCGTTCTAGCGGAGAATCTCAAATTTTAAAGGTAAGATTTTGGATTTTTCATGAGAAACTGCATGCTTTTTCGTTTTGATGAATAGTAACTCATATCAGAAAAAATCCGTAAAATTGAAAAACGAAACCGAGATTTTGTCAGAAACTGTGATAGGAGTCTAACATGAAAGTATTGAAACGAATGAACAAAATTTTTTGGATTAACACTAAAAATATGAAAAACCCTAGAAATGGAAGAAATGTGTTTTTGTTCAATTTATGGTGGAATCTGTGTTCAGGAATGTGAATCTTGACTCCAGGTACCGAAATTAGAAATGGAACGAGTTATTGAAAACTCGGGAAATGAGAAAAATAAGGCGAAAATCTGCCGAAATTTCTTAAAATCTAGTTAGTAAGCAATGAGTTAGTAATTTGATTCTAGAGAATGAATAGCAGTTTTAAAGCTCGAAAACGAATAGATTAAGATTCAGATACCGAGATACACAAATATGTGTAAATTGCCTCTTGAGCTAGAATTCGGCCTTAAGGGGAAAAAGTTCAGAAACGAGTTTGAAATTAGATTTAAGAATCTAAGTATGAGGAATTGTGATTTGGAATAGAAAATTGATACCTATTTCCATGAAACAGGTTTTGGCATGAAAGCCGAAGCAACAGGAAAAAACTTCAAGCAAGCGGGAATCCTAGCGGATTATCTGTAAGTATAGACATATATGTTTATCTGGACTCAAGTAAGCTGTAATTAGACTTAGAACTATGAATTTACTTATGTTCCGAAGTCTATGTGATTATACGTGTTTAGAGGGCTTAGTGCTCTAGATTGCAGAAGGGCGATATATGGTTACCCTTATGCACAGCTAAAGTATGCAAGAAGTATTATGCATTTTATGTTAGCATGTGCACGTAGAGAAACGTTGCATATCATTCAATAAAGTTTTTGACACTTTGAAATGAAAAACCCAAAGTTCAGAAATGTAAAAAGACTGACGGGTCGCTGGCCTCCCAAGGGAAGAAATCTCAAAGAGAAGAGATTCCGCCTAGACCAGACAGTAAACAGGGGCCCATGCCCACAGTAACAAGAAAAGTAAGTAGGGGCCCATGCCCATAGAAGTAAGAATAGAAAGACAGAAAGCAGTTTAACGCATGTTTTATCATAACTCGTAATGTAATTTTTACTAATTTATGACGTATGCACGTTTATACTTGCTGAGCGTTAGCTCATCAGTTTACTCGTGTGCATACAAAGGTAAGCAGCTAGCCATATAGTGGCTTTGCTTGATGGACAGGCGGAGGCAAGGTGGCGGAAATGTCATGGGTACACGGGAGTGGTCTCCACTACGCTCGCTTAGAAAATAAATTCCGCTACAGATTAATGTAACATAGAACACTAGTATGTATGTTCAGTTTTAAGAAAAAAGGATATTACAACCATTGTCTTAGTAAAGAACAACGGATTGTAATAAGTTAAGACAAGTTTTTGGGGACTAGTTGATATCTGAATCCTTAAAGTAATTGCAAGACATGTTATTAGCATAATGACATAACATGTTAAGAACCCGAGGGTTAAAGTAAAGAAAAAAAAATTACCCGAATATGAACGTAATTTTAAAGAAACTATAGTTTAGAAATGCATAATGGATTAGACTATAACTTAACCTATTAGTAATAGTATAAGGCATGGCGACCGCGCCACAAGGGCGCGAGTCGTCACAGCTGAAAATTGGGATTTGTTTGCAAAATATAAAGTTTATAATACAAAATGCATGAAAACCCAACATTACTCTAGCCCTTCTGATTATATCTTTACCTTGTATATAATATATATATATATCCTTGTAAATAATATATATATATATATATGTATTTTATATATATATATATATATATATTTATTGAAGAATATTTTAGAGGCCGTCAAATGAAAAAAGTTGCTTTAAAATTCTTTTTAATGCTAAAATAGTTTCTTTTCTCATTAGCAGCAAATAATATCCAGAAACACGCTTTCATAATTAAATAAGTTTTCATAAGTCAAAATATTAGCATTCTTTTTCAATACCAAAAAAATACATTGTCAACAAATAGTAATGACATCTTATCCCAAATAATTACAACATTATGTATCTTTACTACATAAGCCTAGTTCACTCAAACAATTTTCCATCACCTATTTGCATGGCTGCCAAACTACTCTTTTGCAACATTTTTCTCCTCGTTATCATCTTCGTCTCTTCTCCTATTCTTTCAACAAGCTCCACTACTATAAAGGCTAATACATCACATGAAGCCATCTGCAACTCCACTCCTTACCCTTCTGACTGCAGAGCCACTCTGCCACTTAATCAATCAGGTACCATACATGTCTACTCACGATTTTTTGTTCAAAAATCTGTAACGGTTGCAAACCACTTCCTTGCCTTACTAAACTCATTCCTCAAAACCTGACGTCCCCCATTGCCCGAGCCCACCATCCGCGCGCTCCAAGATTGTCACCTCCTCGGTGAGCTAACCCTGGAAACTCTCTCCAAAACCTACCAAACCATAAACTTCACAAACACCTTGGACGTGTTTGAGGCTGACGACTTGCAGACATCGCTCAGTGCAGTTTTGACGAATCAACAAACGTGTTTGGACGGTCTTGAAGAAGTGACATCCGCCGCAAGTGTGAGAAATGCTTTGTCTGTTCCTCTCTCTATAGGAACCAAGCTATATAGCATATCTCTTGCACTTTTCAAGCATGGTTGGGTTGATGATGACGCAGAGGATAGTGACAATGACAAAGTACTTCCAAGTGCTACAAGAAGGAGGACGCTTCAGATCACGAGTACTAATTTGGAGGGTGTTTTGGTGAGCCAAATGGTGGTGGTGAACAAAAATGGCAGAGGGAATTTCACCACCATTAGTGAGGCTATAAATGCGGCGCCAAACAACACTGCAATCGGTAATAGGAATAGCACTACGTACTTTGGAATTTATGTGGTTAGGGGAGTTTATGAGGAGCATGTTTCTATACCAAGGAACAAGCATAATTTGATGTTGATTGGGGATGGAATTAACAAGACTGTAATCACCGGCAATCGGAATGTGGTTGACGGGTGGACTACATTTAATTCGGCGACATTTGGTGAGCTTAATTTAGTCGTAATATTTATGTTTTCGGTTCACAAAAACTAAACACTCAAAATTTTGTCATATAACATGAGAAAGTTTATGTGTTTTGTTATGCTTAGTATATTTTTATTTTTTTTAATTGTATGAATAAAGAAACGAAAATATATACATATTCCTTAACTATTTATAAACAAAACTAATTAAAAATCTCTCTGCAGCTGTAGCTGGCCAAGGATTTGTTGGCATAAACATAAAGTTCCGAAACACTGCCGGAGCCATCAAGCACCAAGCAGTGGCACTCCGAAACAACGCCGACTTGTCTGCATTCTATGGATGCAGCTTCGAAGGCTACCAAGACACTTTATACACGCACTCCCTCCGGCAATTCTACAGAGGCTGCGACATCTACGGCACAATTGATTTCATCTTTGGCAATGCGGCCGTCGTTCTCCAGAACTGCAACATTTACGCGAGGCTGCCGCTTCGGAACCAATTCAATGCCATTACAGCGCAAGGAAGAACCGACCCGAATCAAAACACGGGGACCTCAATCCACAATTGCAAAATAAGGGCGGCAAGTGACTTGGCCACTAATAATGGTACTACAAGAACGTACCTAGGAAGGCCATGGCAGCAATATTCTCGAACAGCTTATATGCAATCTTATATGGATAGTTTAATTGACCCTGCTGGCTGGAAAGAATGGTCTGGGAATTTTGCTCTTACTACTTTGTACTATGCAGAATTCAATAATTCAGGACCAGGGTCTAACACTAGTAGTAGGGTCACTTGGCCGGGTTACCGTGTGATAAGTGCGACAGATGCTGTGAATTTCACTGTGTCGAATTTCATTGTGGGAGATGCTTGGTTGACTGCAACTACAGGAGTGCCGTATACCGCTGGATTACTTTGAGTTGTACTGC